AACATTCGGATGGCTAACCGGAACAATCAATTTCAACACGAACTGTTAGCGGTATAATCCCATCATCCTCAGTTTTTATTCCAACATGTATCTTGGTGACTACCCACGTTTTTGGATTTTTGTCGCCAAATGATGATCATTTCGTAGTCAATTTCTTCTAGTTTTAATTGATTTGATAATCTCTTTGAGATGCAACTTATTTGCGCACGCACCACTATCGAATAAAATTACACCCTTCTCGTTGTTTTCACGCATTTTTAGGTTGATTGTGGAGACTTCCTTACATAGAAGTAGAACTTCTCTTCCTCCTTAACTTTTCTTTAATATTGGATTGACTGCTTTTGTTAATGTCGCTTTCCCAGTGCTTGGTACATCACATCGCATACTGTCTTTATATTTGACGTGACATAGAGCGGTTTTGTGTAGATTATATATACATAGTTCGCATCATATATAGTTTTTCTTGATTCATCTTGAAATCTTAATGACTCTGTGATTTGTGTCTTCATGCTCTGTTCCTGACCAGGAGTTTCGCTTCCATTTAGTTTTTCGTTTTCTTTGGACTAATCTCATCAGGAATTGTCGAGGGTTATTGACAATTCAATTTTCCTTTTCTGTTTTAAATTGATAAAGCTTATCTAAACCCATAGTGATAATCTACTTTCAATGGTCATTTCAACACTAGAATGTTCTGTGTTCTCATCTACTGCTTTAATTGTCGAAAAACTCTCTCCATCGCTTCGACAGTTAATTTCCATTCTCTGTCATTTCATTTAATAGAATGGAATTTTTTCATTTGTGGCAGGTCTCCGCATCATATATAATACCAATAGAATTTCCTTGATTTATCTTGAAATCTTAATGACTCCGTGATTCGTATTTCTAAGATAATATCTCTAATCCCTCGTTGATTCTTTCATTTCAAATTTATTGATTATGCCTGCTTTGAAGTCAACGTCTTCAGGCTTATTAGAAGCTACCAATAGCTTATTGTCAATCCTTTTTGCTATGATATCATTTCTTTGTAATAACAACTTAGCTGCGAGAATTGGATGTTATTTGATCCATGCTATTGTTTCTACCAATCTTGACCATTTGTTAGATCGATCTGCGTCAATTATTTTAAAGGCTTTGATAGTAACTAATACAACAATCATCTTGTCTCTTCCGGTTTCTAATTCTTTATCTTCTTCGTTACAGTTATAACCATACTGGCTATTTTTTCTATTGGTGAAATTGGTCCGATTTTCCTTTAAGATGGCGTTCTGAGCAGAGAGCATATCATTGCGTTTTGCGATACTGGAGGTGAATCTCAGTTCATGATCTGGCGCTGCGCTTCGATAATACGTAACATATGCAACCTCGGTGGAGTTAAACAGTCTAACAATTTTGCACAGAAGAGCTTTTTTTCCCTGAAAGCACTCAAATTAGCTGGCACCACATAAATAGATTGGGGTTGAAGATGTAGAATATAGTGATTTTGGAACAAGACGGAACTCCCTCATATAAGAACTCTGTCAAATAAGGTAAAGATTGTTTTTCTTCTCTCCTTCGTTACTTCCAATTACACATTCAATTTCAGCAATCTTGCTGAAAACATATTGAAGAAGCTGACCTGGTCGGAATGATAATGCGCGAACAGCTTGATTGACAGATGAAAGCAGCACGCAATCTTTTACATCGCACTTAGTGTACAAACTTGAATTTTTCAAATTGGTGTCGAGCAAATGTTTTAAAAAACATATCCACGACTAATTTTTCTGATGCCAGCTTGTAGAGTTTGGACCGAAGTTTGAGTTTTTGACTTGCTATCCAGGTAACTCATTGGTAGTTCGATTCCATATTCTGCAGCACACCTACTTATTTTGACAGGAACAACAGAAAAGTCTTCATCGTTTAAACTTATCGATTATTTCAGGAAATTATCATTTCCAATAAGTAAGTCAGGTTGTCTCCTATCTCCTTTCATATTTTCTAGCGGAAATTGATTTGAAATAAATCTTGTAATGGATTTGTAAATAGTTTACAGTAGTGAGTACTGTAATATCTTCTTCCATAGTTTTTACTCTAAGTTGCACCTTGTAACAATTGATAATTTGGAATTCTAACGTCAAATGATGCAATTTACATTCTCTCATATCCAGTTTTCTCTAGTTTTAATCAATTAGCCATTTTTCAAAGATGCAACAAACTTACCACAGCTTTGTTTGTTATTTCTGGATTATCCAAATTCATTACTTTAACTTACTTATTATGACGTCACATCCTTGCCATTGAATTGATCGCTTTGATCGGATTCTTCTCTTTTTGTTGGTCCAATTGATTATGCACTACCATCACCTTAATTTGACACAGCGCAGTATTATAAGAGCTCATGGAATGAAAACATGAATGCTTCCCATTATCATATTATGACCTGCTTGCAATTTAGGCAAGCGTTAATTTTCGTCAGTCGTTTTCATTCGTTGTTTCATAGCGGGATAGATCTGACACTCATTATCCCAATGATCTTTATCACAAAAAGTCTATTCGGCGAATTAGTTCATTCTTCATCTAATCTTGAACTAGACATTAGTATGCTAACTTATAATCATTATATGTGGTCAAAGTTATTAAGTTAAGGAAAACTTAAGAATTCTAGGAAGAAATAAGGAAAGTTTTATTAATTCCTAAATAACGATGCTATGCAAAACGCAACATTTGTTTGTCACATTGCTTGTGGACCATTCATTTATTAAAATGTTCCCATTTAATAGAGTAAAAGCAATGTTAATTACTACTTACTTGCTTGTATCATTGTTATTAGAATAGACTTTTAAAGTTACAGCGGTAAGTGTTACCGAGTACCACTACGATAAGTATCGTTTCGATAAGCTTAGTGAAAAACTGTGGATATTGAATTGTTAAAAATGATCAATTTAATAAAAATGATTTTTCGAAATACTGAAAACAAAAATGATAGTTTTGCAGTATTGAGCTTATCTCCAGAATATTCGCTCTCCCTGTTATTTTATTTCTGAAAAACCAATGCTGTTGGGCTAGAAATTTCTACGCAATGCCCGTTTATCGATAACCTACCCGGCCATAATAATGCTGATATGTGAAAGTCATCATATTATAGTTTAAACATGAATTGCTACTGTAATATTTATAGATAAAGTTCAAAAAAAGATATCATCGAGAAGTAGGAAAAGGGAAAAACAAAAATAACTTCCAGTCTGATATTTATCCAGGTACTTTTGGTATCAACCAAAAATTAATGGCAATAGCTTAAAATTAGCACAATAGTGTTTAAATTTTTAGCAAAAATAGCTGCAAAACAATTTCAATTTTGTTATTATTGATTTAGAAAATTGTAGAAATTAAGACAGAGCTAATGCATAGATGATATATTTAGCATTATTATTTTATTATAGTTTTATTTATTTTATTAATATCAAACATGCCATTGTTTATTCGGTCCAATGTTTAATATCAAAAAATGATTGGTTTGATCTGTAATATATTCAAGAAATTTGGTGAATTATTATTTGCATTATTACAGTAACATGTTAATGTAATTTTTTTGCATATGGAATGATCATGTGGTATGCATGTAACATAATAAATATAAATGAAAAAATACATGTCCTATTGAAGTAATACATTAATAATCCTTTTTGGTGGCTATTGTGATTAAAAAAAAAATGCTTCTTTAGATCATGTTATTAAATGGCTAGAAGTTAAAAGATATGAATATCGGCAACACTTAATGTCGCTCGATCATTATGTTTTTATTATTTTAGGTATGTTGAGACGAGTTACTATAACCACTACTACATCATTCTACTGGATGATTTAATTAATGCTGGCGCTGCAAATCAGATTAGATTCGTCTTTTTCTTTTTTTTATAATGCTGATGTCTTTTAGTGAGATTTAGACATTTTGGAGTTAATAACGAAATTATGATAAGGAGCCATTGTGATTTCCAGCGAGGAATAATCAGTGATAATCACTGATATATGCAAAATAGTGGGAATAGTTGAAGTTATTTGAAGTAAACGGTGATAAGTTCGCTGCGCAACATGCAGCATTGAATGAGCTGAAACGAACTGGATCATATGTATTCACAAAACAATGCTGTCGAAGGAAACAACTAAAATAAATTTTCATTTTATTTTAGTTAAGAAACAAGAAAAGTGTTTGTTGCTAAATTCGTTGAAAATTATGATTTTAAACTTCAAATTTTCAATTTTTGATTTTGTTCCAAGTATTTGCAAAAGATGAATTTGCGATTAAAAACAGAAATGACATTTACAAATGTCATTTATAAATGTCATTTCTGGGAAACAAATTGAAATCGCATTTCTTATTTATGAGATCTTTTTTCAATATATTCGTGATTCAATAGGACGGTTTCAAATGTGGTAAAGTTGAAAGTATTCTTGTTTCCTGCATTAATTGCTGTGCACGATCTGCGGCACGGTGGCCGGTATCCTATCACTTGTGGAAGAAGGGCGCCACATCCAGAGAATCAGACATAATAATCTTCTACTTATTACTGTGAATACAATCAACTACTAATATTCAAGATTTTAATTAGAATATATTTTTTTCCTTTTATCTTTTTTTAAATTTTGATTAGCGACCTCTTTTTATTTCTTTGAAATTTTTTAAACTATTTTTTTGTTTGTCCAGTCATCATTCACCATTCATTCACCGTCATTCTCTGATCTATTATTGTTTTAGATTAAAGCATAGTTTATGCGCTATTCATGGAATGTGTAAAGGAGCTAATAAAAATTGTTGCATTCATTTATTTATATTCATCAGGATTTAATTTTGGTGTTGAAAATGTTAAAATAATCAATGGAATGCCTTACAATAAAAAGACAAACAAATAAAACCTTATATTAAATAACAAAAAAAAAATCAACAATTAAACAAAAAATGCAAATCTTGTAATAACCCTGAGCATGAGCACACATTCGCGGAATAAAAGAATATTTCCTCTTTCTAAAAATATCGGGCAATATAATAAAATATACGGAAATAGCCACCAAACTAAGCAAAAAAATATTGCTCAAAAGACAAAAAAACAAGAAAAAATAAAGCAAAGTTAACCAAAAAAATTATCAAAACAAAAGCACAAACAGATATAAATAAAAAAGACAAGCAAGAAAAAAAAAACAATAGTTGTTCCTTCTTAAACAATTTCAGTCCATCAGATAAAGCTTAGATTACCTCAGCATAACCTATCCTATTAGGATTAAAAAGCAATAGATTGCAAAATGAAAACAATTGTAAACCAATATTCAACTATTTTCTGACATAAGGAAAATTTCTTCACATTTATTATTCCACAAAATTTAAATTTGAATTTGATAAGCCTTATCAGCATGAGGAATTGAAGGTTCTTATCGGCCACTGATATACCAATTTTATGCTGATAACTTGTTTTTCAAATTTTGAAAATTCTTAAAGTGAAACAATCATCTTGAAATTTTCTTGCACAAGCAAATTTAGGGAACATATGAAAAAATTCCAAAGATCACTAAAACTCATCAATACGATAGTTTTAGGAGTACCTTTAGGTACTGAAACGTCTCCGTTGTTCCTCTCTAACGGAACACCTCTGTCTTTTTATTAGCCTACACAACTTTCAATGTTCCTTTAGTTTCAGCCAATATTATTAAAGTTCCAATATACTAACATATGAACAACTTTGATCTGATTATTAGAACCACTTATATTGCTAATCTTTTAAGCAGCAAAAATTTTAATTCCAAATATCTTTTATTTAGAAATGTTTCCAAATGAGATTAAAATTTACTCGAAAATTAAATTGTTTATAATTTAGCGATTTATAAAATATGATGAAATGTTTCGGTGCCAAATAAATGATGATTGTAAGCAAGACATATGTACAGTCATAATAAAAGCATAACATTTATACCACAAAAGAAGAGAGCATTTGATGAGCGTTAGGAATGTGAAATGATTTTAATTTTGTCAATTGACGATTTTGATTGGCGCCAAATACTTTTTGCTTTCCCTTCACTTTCCATTGGCTTATTTTAACCTTATTATTAAACAATTAATACATATATTTCGGAATCAATTATAAATTATTTTTAAAATATCCAAATATGCAAACAATAAATGATAAAACTTTAAGATTTTTAATTCATGAAAAAAGAAACAAATTTAATTCATGCGAAATCAAAAAGCATTCATACAATGTAAAACGAAACATACTTCTTCAGCTTTATCAAAAATACAGTGAAAGGAAAAATAAACTTTACAAATACCTTATAAACATAAACAATGGCCGGAATAAACAACAAAAGTTGGGAAAAGAAATATAACAAATAAAATAAATTATCGCTTACTTATAGGAAATGATAATCAAGGAATGCAAAAGAAGGATAAAAGGGATTAACTTTTAATTATCAATAAGCAAAAATAAATATTACAAAATACTAGAAAATTGAGTCTTTTATCACTTATCACTTATCACTGCATCAAAATTTTATCTTTTCACACAAAAATTATATAATTTGAACAAATTTTGATTGAAATAAATGGGAATGGTGATGTGACTAATATTTTTAGACAGGATAAATTTTCACACTCTTCTCTATCAAGATAAATTTTCACAGTTTTTTTTTGTCAACTAATATATTCATTATTTTACAAACTTAGATTAACGCTTCAAGAATTCAAAATCTTTTTTTTTTAGATTTAAATCAAATTTGAAGTTACTGTTTCCTTCTCTTTAATTTATCGAAAAATCAAATTGGCATAAATTTAAGCATTCGGTCGATTCAGCAAATTAAGATTATTATAGACTATCAGTTTCGATATTAACAAAACGAATACAAACGTTTAATTTTTTATATCATAAACTATTATGAAAGTGAACATTTATTTCAAATATAAATACTATTACTGATCAGCTATCATAAAATTTTGTCGCTTTTGCAAAGATATTAATATATCAAAAAAAAAAAAAATTGTAATTATACACGAAAATTTTTCAGGGCTGTAAATATTTCAACATAAATTCGATAATTTCATCAACGTATTTTGCATTCCAAATCATTCGCCTGTTAATATCAGTTCGAATATGAGAAATAACAGGCTTTAATTTTTTTATCAATGGTGCATATTTCTCCTCGAATATATCCAACTGAAAATGATTTTCCTTTTTTTGGCGTTGATTTGTAGTTTTAAATTAGAAAAACAATAAACTTTTAGACGTAATAAAACTCAATTTTTAATTGATATATCTTAAATATTGTTTGTGCTTAAATGGTGATATGCTTTTAAATTGATGACAACTACGAAAATATGTTGTTAAAATCCGAAAAATCATGATGACTATGCATAATATCGCTTGAAACCATAATATCAAAAAACAAACAAATAAAAATAAAATTATAATATTAAAAGATTTTCTTCATACAACAGTGTTTGTTTTAAAAATTATTGTCAGAAATTTTTATTTCTTATAAATATCAAAAGCTATCAGTTAATTGATTTGTATGCAAGATGAGATGTTAAGCGCAAGTTTTGCATATAAAACTTTTTTTTTTAAAATTTATTTTACATAGCTACAAAATTACTAACTTTATGCAAATCTTCGTTCGTTCCATATCCTCTTGCCATTTGAAGCATAAAAAAGGGTCCATATTTTTCGTGTCTATAATTTATAAATTTTCATTTTAATCATCAACTGCATATGCAAAGATTAATTAAAGTGGAACATTGAAAGTTTAACTTTTGAATATTGAAAAAAAATAAAACTTATTTACCTCTTGAGAAGTTCAGCAAAATTGTTAAATAAGTATTGTTCAACTGCCGTGTTATCATAATTTTTCCTTAAAAAAAGCTTCATCTTTTTCTTTTTTTTTCGAAAATTAATTTAATGAATAAAAATGATGAGTGGAACAAAATTAAGTTAAACTAATTGATTGGCGAATAATTTTTCAAATGAAAGGAATGGGAATTATGCAACACTCTCATCAACTGATCTCATAAAGATCTCATAAACAAACCTTGCGAGTTCGTATAATTTGGGTCGAAAGTCAGTATCCTTCTCTTTTTTAATTAACACCTCTTTTACCATCCTAAAAAACAAAAACAATTTTAAAAAATTCAAGAAATGATTTATGGAAACTTGGAATTAATATTTTTTTCTAAACAAATTGAATAAATATTTTCTCTAAACAAATTGAAAGTTTAATAAATTGAAAGCTGAATTCAAGTCGAACGTAAAAGTTAAGTTGAAATTATTTAACAGATTAAGATATTATTTCTTAATTAGTAAATTAAATAATAAAATTAAATATCACATTACATTCACTTACATTTCAATGTAAGAACGATTAGAGCTGCTGGCAAGTGCGGAAAAAATCCTATCACGTTCAACGTGATGTTCTTCTTCATGAAATTTATTGATCATAAATGTCAGTTGTGCCTGATTGCCATATTTGGTTGCTACCATATAAGCAATATTACGTAGGCTTGCTTCCAATCTTAGCATAATTAAATTG